TCCTCCGTCCTCCCCCCCTCCTCCTCCTCCTCGTCCTCCTCCTCCTCCTCCTCCTCCTCCTCCTCCTGGCACAGACCCCCCAGCCGCCTCCACGCAGCCCCCCCACGGGCTCTCTCGAGGGAGGGTGTGGCGGTCGCATTTGTTTTGGGGCCTTTTTTCCAGTTCTGGAGTGCGCGTGCTGCGGCCGCACGGCTCGGGGGCCTGTGCCCGCCGGGGGTTCAGTCATAGAGGGTGTTCCAGAGGGGGCTCTGTCCACCCTCAGAAGGACTTCGAGGCGAAGAAGGCGGCGATCGCAAAAGCTTCGAACAAGGTGGAGAGCGGCATCGGGCTGCAGACCTGGAAGTGGGGCCACGACTACGACAAGAAGTACACGACGAGCTCGACCGGAGCCGGCACCTTCCTGCGCTACAACATGGGCAACTACCAGATCATCCCCAGCTACCGGGGCTCGGCGGCCGACGACGGCACGTACCTCATCGACCCGAGCCAGATCAAGAGGGCCAAGGCCCAGGCCGCCGAGTACGAGAGGGTCCGGAAGGAGGTGGCCCCCGTCTGGCTGAAGGACGGGGGCGCGACCGGCAACGTCTGGCCCAGCCAGGGCATGTACAAGCCCCGCACTTACACCTCGGCGTACCAGCCCGTGCGCCAGAAGTAGGCGCCCGCCTCGGGCAGGGCCACGGCAGCGCGCATGAGCGGCGTGTTTTTTTAGGGGGCCTGGCCCGCGGCAGATCGTGCAGGGCAGGCGGCTCGCACGAAATGGCGCGCCGCGCGGCACGGGCCTCGCGGAAGAAGTGGCTGCGGGCACCGCGGAGTGCGCCGGGCACGGCCCGGGACGCCGTCGCGCTCGTCCTTTTCTCCTGCTGCCGACAATTGCAGTGGGTGTGGTTACGCCGGGGTGTGGTCTGCGATCTGCGTCCTCGCCCGACCCCCCCCCAGGCGCGGGTTGCGAACCGCACCCTTTGCAAGCCACACCCTTCGGAGTCGCGATTTCTCTATCAGAACAAATGTGTGTATACGTATAGATGTGTGTATGTATATAACATATATACATATATATATATATATATATATATATATATATCTTCTCCTCTTCTTATATTTTTACAAGCCGGAGGGTGGGAAAACCGCGTCCCCCCCCCCCCCCCGAACTGGACCCCCAGGATCGCGGGTTTCTGGGTCCCCTGGACATCTTTGCCAAAAGTCCCCCGGCTTGTCCTGGACCTCCCACGGCGCTTAGCTGGGTCCTGCCAGCAGGCCCCAAGCGATCAGTGCGGTGATCAGAGAGGTCGAAGAGAGACCCAAGACAGCACAGGAGCGCCCCGTAGCCATTTTGGCTCGAGCCGTTTTCGCTCAAGCTGTCTTGTGCCCAGTCAGTTTTGCCTCAGTGCATACTCACACTACCCCTTCGCTCGCCATGGGACGCAGGGTGACGGTCACAGACACGCCGAGGAGGAGGAGGAGGAGGAGGAGGAGGAGGAGGAGGAGGAGGAGGAGGAGGAGGAGGGGGGAGGAGGAAGGAGGGAGGAGGGAGGAGGGAGGAGGAGAGGAGGAGGAGGAGGAGGAGGAGGAGGAGGAGGAGGAGGAGGAAGAGGAGGAGGAGAAGTTACCACCACTGTTACACCAACTCTGCAGAAGGGAGCGGCGTTGCAGGTGTGGTAGATTTGCCTCCCGCCAATGTGGTCTTCCCCGCCAGTTCGGGCTGAAGGCGTCACCGTCCACAGCAACTGAAGACGCGTACGCGGCCGTGGAGGCCTTTCTGTGGGCGCTGAGTGCAAGAGGGCTGGAGATGATTTTACGGCGCAGTGGCAGAAGACCCACGGCATTGAAATGCAGTGGACTTGCGACGCTTAAAGCTTTGTCATTTCAAGGTGATGACATTCCACGCTCTCCCGTGGACGCGGTCGGACAGTTCCTCAAGCAAGGGGCGCACTTCCAGGCCAAATGGATTGTCAGCGCTAGGACGACCCTGTACAAACCAAATGCTTGCTGCGCCTTGATGTAGACGCGAGCCTGACAAATATTGACTTCATTGCTTGCCTGCCCAGTAGGCAGTGCAGTACATCATTCTTGATTGCACCGCAGTGCTTGCACAGCAGAGTTGTGTCTTCAACAGCCAATGCGTACAAGACTACTTCGCAAGACCGTAGCAGACATTCCTCCTTCCAAAGACCCTCGAGACGGCCCCACGACCGTGGTGGTGCAATGTGCCGCAAGCTGCATCTTCCATAATTTCTCGACAGCGGGAATTCTTCAGCGTGTCGGTCGGTTTGTCATTCGCGCCCGGGTGCGTCAGGCCGACAGGCAGCGTTGCCGATTGGTTTTGCAGGTGCTGCGCAGGGGAAGACAACAAAAGACAGCACAAGAGCGCTCCAAGAAGGACCCAGATGGCCTCCAGAGGCTCCCAAGACGGCCCAGGATGCCCTCAACACGGCTCCCAGAATGCAGAACAAATCCGTTCATTCCCTGACGAGAACGTGCATCTTCAGAGCATTCGCTGATCGGGTCGTGGCAACGTCCAAAACAGCTACGCAGGCCTCCGATTTCGCCCCAAGACGGCCCACGAGACCCCCAAGAGAGCCTATAGACGGCCTGGATGGCCCCAAGACTGCCCAAGGAAGCCCCATCTGAGCCAAAAAGAGGCCCAACAGGCCCTCACAAGGCCCCGAAGTGACCAGAGAAGAGCGCTCCAAGAAGGACCCAGTGGGCCTACAGAGGCCCCCAAGGCGGCCCAGGAGGCCCTCAACAGGGCTCCCAGCACGCAAACATCGTTTCATTCCCTTCGGAAAAGAGCACCTTTTCAGTACATTCGCTGTCCGGGTCCCAGCAGCGTCCAAAACAGCCAAGAAGGCCTCCAGTATCGCCCCAAGACGGCCCAAGAGACCCCCAAGAGAGCCTTTAGACGGCCTGGACGGCCCCAAGACTGCCCAAGGAAGCCCCATCTGAGCCAAAAAGAAAAACCCAAGAAGGCAATGGGAGGCTCCCCCAAAGGCCATGGGGGGCCAACAGGAGGGCCTACGTAGCCCCCGTAAGGTCCTAGAGGGCCCAAGCTCCCCAACACTGCCCAAGATGGTCCCAAGACGGCTCGAGACGGCCCCAAGCCGGCTGGCCCACCAGGGCTCCAGTAAGGCCCACACGGCGTTCTACACAAAAGTGACCCGAATCCCGGGCTCGCAACCACAAATCCCAGAAATCTGTTGCGAGCCCGGAATTGGGTGCATTCCCTAAGGATTACTTGCGTTCGCGTGCCCCGGTGCGACCCGCTGCAACCCGCTGCAACATTCTTCGCCGTCCCCCGACGGCGCCCTCCTCCTCCACATTCTGCCGCTCCACCACTCGTCCTCCCCCATACCCGTTTCCTTTTCTAGCTCTTCGAGATTCCTTCCCTCCTGTCCTTCGCCCTCCACCTGGCGCTTTTCGGGAGCCCCCAGAGGCCCGGGAAGGGCCAGGGACCGCCCGAATTTTCAAAGACTTCTGAAAACCACCGCAGGGAAGGGGCCAAATTTCCAAGGCCACTAGGGATGGCGCGAACGTCCAACACAGGTAAAGCCTCAAGGACCAAGGTGCATGGCGCGAAGCGCCAATGCAGTCGTGAATATCTCTGTGTAGATAGAAATAAGCAAGAAGCCTCCGTGTGTCAATACGAGAGTGTATCCTCTCTCTGCCCGACGCTTGTGGCCATTCGGGTGTAGATCCGTAGGCATCTTGGTTCAAGGTTTTGAGTTTCCCTGGGAAGCAAGTGGATACTGCTGGTCCGCGGCTAGGCTTCCTCTTGCGGCTGCTGGCTCGCCCCCGTGCGCCGCCCGCGGCCCTTCCACGGGCGAGCAGCCTTCTCGGCCGAAACCAGGCCGTGCGCGGGTCTTCGGCTCCCCGTGGGCCGGGCCTGTGGCTGTGCGCGGGTCATGGCGGCAGCTGTGGCAACGGCAAGGACAAGAGTGGCATGTGCATCGGCTGCTCGGCGTGCCGATGCCGCTGGCTTTGCAGGTCCAGCCGCTGGCGCGACCATTGCCGCGCGCCGCTCGTGCCCAACCCGTCGGCCGACAAGCTCCCAAGCGGGCAGTGGCACTTCGGCCCCCCGACGCTCGCGTCGAACCCGTTCGCGCTGGCAGCCGCCATGCTGGCTGGTACCCGCGCGGCTGGCGGCACCCATGAGGCCCCTCCGACCGTGGCTCCTCCCGACCCCCTCGCTCTTCTCCGTGCGGAGTTGGGCGACGCTGACGAGCTCAAGGCCCTCGAGGCCAAGTTGTGGTCCAAGCCTGAGCCTGCAGCGCCGCCTCGGCGTCGCCCGCCCCTCTCGGAGGAGGAGGTCGCCACCAAAGGGGATCGCGTGCAGGCGCGCGCAGGCCTGGCTCGACACCTTGTGCGGCCCGCGTCCTTGAGGGCGAGCGGTGGCTGGCCGAGGTCAAGGAGGAGGAGGAGCGTGCCGCCGAGGCTGCGCGCCGAGGCTGCGTGGAGCAGAAGGTGCAAGACGCCTTGGGCCCCGCCGCAGAACAGATCATCCAGCTTCGTGAGCAGGCCAAGAGGCTGCGCGCCAGGCTCCAGGCCAAGCGGCGTCGGGGCCCCTCGGGCCAGGCTGCTGCGTGTGATGCGCCTCCTGCAGCGCCCGCGCCTGCTGCTGACAGTGCTGCTGCTGGCCGCGCAGCTGATGGGAGCGGGGTCCCCGTCCGCGACCTCAGCGGACCGGGGCCCTGCAAGCTGCCGCCCGCGCCAAGACCAGTTAGGCCGCCGAGGCCCGAGCAAATGCAGCGGCCGAGGCCGCCGCCGCGACCTCTCTTTAGCGAGAGGCTGCCTGTGGCGCTGCAGGCCGAGGACCAGGGTCCCGTGCGTCGCCGCGCCGTCTACCAGAGGCAGCGCCTGGAGAGGCGGCTGCGGCTTTACACGCAGACCTGGATGCGGCGCCCCATTGTGGAAGACGAGGAGGGCGACTCAGCCCACTGGATGGCCCGTCGCGTTGTGTGCGTGGAGGCTTGGCTCGCTCACCCTGATCATCGTCATTTCACGGTCGAGGCCCTGCAGGCGGCGGGGCACGACAATGCGGCCATTCTTCAAATAGACATGGCGCGTGGCATCTGGCCAATAGGCCTGGCGGGGTCGCCGCCGTAATCGTGCCAATGACCGCCGCAGCCTGCAGCGCCTCGCGCAGACAGGCCGCGAGGCTTGGGGGGCTGAGTTGGCACGCCACTCGGCTTATACATGGTCCAGGTCGTCGAGATCTTCGACCGGCGCGTGCCGCCCAGGCGGGTGGCGGACACCGTGTCCGAGTTCTCAGTCGAGCTCCTCATTGGCGGGGGGCCCCACTTGCGCGGGGCTGCGGATGCCCAGCCGTGACTGACAGTCTTGTCCGACGGCGCAGCTCGCGTCTACATTCGAGTTCCTCACCGTGGTCGGCCACGCGCAGTATTATCCCTCGGCGCGATGGCCCCGCCGACCACGGAGGCCCCCCCACGGCTGCTGCCAACGAACAGGGTAAGGGCGGTTCTACTTCGACCGCAGCTACGTCAGGGCGGTTGCTTGCGCGCGGCGCTGCTACCAGTGCTGCGGCCACGGCCATGAACGTCTCCCCTGCGCCCGCCCCGGGCTTTCACCCCCTGTTCGCCCCAGGGGATGGAGTCGGGAGCTTCGGGTGGGCAGAGCAGGGGTACGAGCCGCGGTACGCGGTGGCAGACGGCGCCGTCCTCGTCGATCTCCACGCGCGCCCCGCCTTGCGCGGCTACTCCAATTTTCACGCGTGCTTCAGTGGCCACGAGTCTTTCCACTTCAGGCGTCTGAGCGCAAATTCTGGTGGTCCTCGAGCCAGTTACAGCGTCGCTGTTTTGCGTAGGTCCTCTCGGCGTTAGATCGCATATTCCTATGCCCCTCGGGTCGGGCTCACCGTCGCAAGTCTTTCAGGGTAGCGCTAGATGGCAAATCCCGACGTCCGAGTCGGGTTCGCGCCGCTTCGCTAGGATCAGGCTAGAGCGCAAATACCGACCGTTGAGTTGGGTTCGTCGTCGCCATTTTGCCAGGA